TTCTTCTAAGAAAAGGGAATTTTGATACAGACGTGTGAACACTGAGGAAAGACCATGTGAAGAAACAAGCCAAAGAGAGAAGCCTCAGAATGAAACTGACCCTGCTGACATGTTGACCTTGGACTTCTGTCTCCCAGAGCTAGGAGACAGTCAATGTCTGTTGTTTAAGCCCCTGGTCTATGGCACTTTGTTTTGGCAGCTTTATCTGTGAAGTCCTTCTGCATCCCAGGGTGTGGGACCAGGGCACAGGAGAAACTCTGGCTCCGAGGCCCAGACTGTCTGCATTTCCCTTGAACCTGTCCCGGCCATGATGGAGCTGAAGTCCCGGGTGGGGAGGCTGTCTTGGTTGGTGCTCTGTGTACTGGGTGAAGCAGTGACCACGGTCAGAGATTAGGGAGCCCTGGGGGAGAAATGGAAAACCCACTGTGGAAACTGTGAAGTTCTGTGCCAGAGTGAAGGGTGATTTTTATGCTATCGAGATGCTAGTGAGTGGTGAAGGTAAAGTACAGCTTTGGGGTGAAGCTCAGCTTATCCTGCTTTGGAGTCAGATGTACTCGGTTCCCACTCTGCATTAGTCATTCGTTCTCTGTTCTAGTGTTTCTCATCTTAGAACCAACCAACTCATCCCCTTTCTGTCCTAACCCCATCTCCTCCCTGGCCGCTGCTTCCTGTTTCTGCTCTTTGACAGGGAATGTCAAAGGGTTGTCTGCAGTCCCCTCCACCCCCCGGTCCCTTGCCGCCTGGATGTGCCCCCACTGCGCTGGGGCTGCTCACCTCAAGCTCTGCCATCAGGCCCTGTGGCCTCCTCCCTAGGTCCCTCGTGGCCTCTTTGTCCTTATCTTTTATGATGTCTCAGCAGCCCGCAGCTCAGTTTACTCCCTTTTACTCAAAACGCTTTCTTCTCTTGGCTTCCCCTGCAGACATCGTCCCTTCTGGATTTTATCTTACCCCTTGGCCTCCTTCTCAAGCTCCTTCTCTGACCCCAACTGTCTCTCAACTTTTAAATGGAGGAGTGTCCCAAGACAATCGGGCCTTCTTTTTTTTTTAGTGGCCACATTAAGTCTGGGGCTGAGAAGAGTCACCCCCTGTAGACCGTCCCCAGTAAGTGTCTCTGCTCGAACTGGCCCACGAGTGCTGGGCTCACGCCTCCCACTGCGGACTGCAGGTCTCGTGGGTGTCCTGTGGCATCTCAAATGCATCAAACACAGGATTTTTTTTTATCCTCACCCAAGGATATTTTTCCATTTATCTTCAGATAGAGTGTGAGGGAGGGAGGGAGAGAGAGAGAGAGAAACATCGATCTGAGAGAGACACATTGACTGGTTGCCTCCTGCATGACCCTGACCAGGGCTGGGGACTAACCGCAAGTGAGGGACGTGCCCTTGACTGGAATCGAACCCACGAGTCATTGGTCTGTGGGCTGACGCTCTAACCACTGTGCCAAACTGGACAGGGCCAAACACAGAATTTTAACTTTCTCCTCCAGCCACAGAGGGTAATTAAACACTCAAACACGCCCAGCCCATGTGCAGTCCTGGGGCCATTGCTTTCGTGGTTGCCTGCCTGCAAATGTCTCCAGAATCTTCACCGCCAGCCTCCTTACTGTTCAGGTCTCAGACCACGTCACTGGCTCTGAGAGGACACCTGGTCATGTGGCCCGAAGCCGCTGCCCGATCCTCTCTGTCACTCACCCTGTCTTAATTCTCTGTCTTAATTCCCTTCAAGGTGACCACATCCCCCCTGACCAGAAGGAGATGGGAGTTGAAAGGGAAGGGCTTGGGGCTCAGTGTCAGGCTGAGCAGAGCGAGCCGGGAGGGCAGCTTGGAAGCAGGAGGATCGAGTAAAGGCCTGAACGGTGGAAACTGCAAAAAGGGTTGCCCTCAGGTACACAGGCTCAGTGAATATTTGTTGTGGTGTCTTTTTCTATAACAAATCAACAATTTGAGCCATGTGAAAGCAGCCTGTTAGCTCCATTTTGATGACTCAGTCCTATAAGATCCTGAAATAAAAATGCTACACTGGCCAGTAGGATTCTTTTGCTTGCTAGGCTACCCTTCTGGAACCATGGCCTGGCCACTGGGCCCCAGATGACTGCACAAGTATAAGTCCCAGCTCTTTGGGCTATTTGGTTAACCCTTTGCATGGAGGAGAGGGTCAGAGAGCACCCTGAGGGGAGAAACAGGGAGTAGGGCTCATGTGAGACATGGTTGGGCTTGGGACACCTCACCTGTATAGAACTGCTGCCCCTGCCAATCCTGGGAGGACTCTTGCTGGTCATTCCTGGTGGGACTTGGGGGGAAATTTGCAAAGAAGGCACTTAAAGCATGGTGTTTGTTGTCATGAAGGGGTCCTGCTGGCTTGGGTCTGAGGACTGTCCTGCCTGTACCTCTGTCCAGCCTCCACCACGGACTCCTGGAATGCTGGTGGTCAGACACAGACAGAATAACCTCAGAGAGGGGACCCATCAATTCTTACACTTGAGGGTTCCTCAGTGAAACGGCTGGATCTTTATCCAGGCACCCCAGAGTGAAGCTCGCCTCTCAAGGAAGCCTTGTCTGTGCACTCCGCGTCTCCATTCAGACACTTCCTTCCTCTCTTGAACAGGAAGAGTCAGGGAGCATCTGAGGAGAGTCTCCACCATGAATGACAGGCAGCAAATAGAACAACACCAAAACCCAAAAAATAAAAAAAAGAGTAAACAAGAGGAAATAAACCTAAATCAGAGAATGGAGATGAAAAAGCTCTAAAACAGTTAGAGATGGGCTATTGCATTCATGAAACAAGTAGAGGGTGCAGTGAAGCAAAAAGGAACAACCAAGGAAAAAGAAAGAGGCCTTGGAAATTACAAAGGCAACAGCTGAAATAAAAAATTCAGTAGAAGGCTTGGAAGATAAAGTCAGTGAAATCAACCAGGGAATAGAACAAAAAAGACAAGAGATGGAAAATAAGAGAGAAGGGATAAGGCACTTAGAGGATCACCTTGAGAAGTCCAGTTTTGGACAAACAGAAGTTCTAGAAAGCAAAGAGAGGAATGAGAAGAGAAGAACTTGTCCAAGAAATCCTAAGCCAAGATGTGTTAGACTGGAAGGACCCAAGACTCCAGGAGAAAGCACCTTAAGTGCCCAACAGACTTGACAAAAGAAAATCCAAACCAAGGCACATAATTTTTAAAAAGTTCAGAACATCAGTGACAAAAAGAAAAATCACGTCTTAAGCAGAAGAATAATACTAGTGCAATATTGGATGCTAGAAGACAAGAAGGTACCGTCTTCTAAATTCTGCAGGAAATGATTACTAATCAAATTCTATGAGTTCAGCTAAATTAGCAGTTATAGGTGAGGGCAGCATATAGACATTTTCAGACAAGACTCAGAAAGTGTCTCTCTGTGCATCCTTACCTGAGAAATACTGTACGCTATGTTGCTGCAAAATGAAGAAGTGGCCAAAAAAAGAGACCATAGAAAAAAGAAATAAGGGCTTCAACTCAGGGAGGGCTGAGAAGGGAGTCCTGGTGGGTGGATGGACAGAAGACCTAGACAGCAGCCAGTTGAGATGAGAGAAGAAGGTAAGGTGGTAGCTGGGGGAGGGGGGTGTCCCTTGAAAAAAGATATCTGCTGTATTACTTTTATAATAAAAAGCACTTGGTTAAACACAGAAAGATTTTCTACAGATATTAGAGAAGTTTGGGAAAAAGTTAACATCCAACTTCAAGATAAAACAATTATTAACTCAGGAAAAAGCAAAAAAGTATTTGAAAGAAAAACCCATCATATTACCACATGAATTTAAGGTGCCATTAATTATAAAATGTATCATTATTTTAAGAAAAAAACAACAACAACTGATGGCAAGTTGTTAACCACTACCTTCCCACCAAAAAGGCAAGTTTTAATTTGCGAAATATAATGATTTCAGAGACCCTTAGAAAGTTAATAAAAGGTACTTAGAGTGGTGGAAATATCACCCTATTTGGCTTTTCAGTGCACCATATTTGCACTGATTTAACCACAAATTGTGATGTGAATTTATTGTGGGGATGAAGAGAGGAAGAGTATGGGTGTGGACCTGTTTGGTAAAGATAAGTGCTATATCCTCATGTGCCAGAAAGAAAGGTAGTGGTTAACGTGTAGTTGATAAACATAGAATCAGCAGAATTATTCTACATAGACGTAACCACAGGAAGGAACAGCTAAAATAACAGAAAATGGTGGAAGGTTGGGCATGGACTAGCGTGGGGTCATCAGTTGGAGAATTGCTGTTTTGTTTTTGTTTTTTTAGTCCTCACCGAGGACATTTTTACATTTATCTTCAGATAGAGCAGGAGGGAGAGAGGGAGAAAGAGAGAAACATCGATGTGAGAGAGACACATCGATTGGCTGCCACCCACACAACCCCAACCGGATCCAGGACAAACTGCAACCGAGGTAGTGCCCTTAGCGGGAACCGAACCTGGGACTCTCTGGTCTGTGCAGACGCTCTAACCACTAAGCCAAACCGGCCAGGGCGAATTGCTGTTTTTTTTTTATAACAAGTCTCGGGCTGATAATGCATGTTAACATATGTATGTTACTTTGATGTAAACAAAGGTGGAGGAACATATACACACACATTACCTTTTTGGAGCTTAAAAATAGGACAAAAATTGGAGATCTGGGGCCCCCAAATTGCTCTCTTTAAAATTTCTTACCTGGACATAGGTTAAGACATGATCATACCCTGCTTAAGTGGCCTCTAGGAAGATCAGGGCCCCCCTCAACCCTCCCCCCAGAATGGACGTGTGGCCCAGGCTGGCCCAGCGCCCTATCTCTGCAGAAAGCTGGCGTTTACGGATTGTTCTCGCCTTTCCCCCATCCGCCCCTCACCACAGCTACTGGGTGCAGCCAGCTCACACGTGTAGACTGCATGCCCACCCCACCCCCCACCAGCGCAGAATCCCGGGCACTTCTCCTCCCTGGGAAACGTCCCTGTCACGTAACTTATTCTGCCCCATGACCTTCTAGAGGAAAGAGGAAGAGGAGAGGAAGCGAGGGGAAGAGCAGATCCGCCTGCAGGAGGAGCGGAGAGCCAGGGAACTCTACTGGACCCTGAAGCAGGCGCAGCTGCAGGGCCAGGCCAGCGAGGACGAGGAGCGCGCGTGGGAGGAGCAGCGTGAGTAGAGCTGGGGCCTCAGGGCCCGGAGACCAGCCTCCCCACCCCGGCTCCCTTGTTTCCGTGACCGGCCATCATCCAGTCCACCCAGCCCAGAGGCCTGCCTCGGGCCACCCTGTGCCCCGTCCGGCTGAGGAGCGTGCTTGCCGGGCAGATCCTACACTAGAACAGAAAGCCCCCCGTTTTCTGGTGACCGATGACTGTGCTGCTCCCCGGATTCAGAGGAGCCCCCAGCCAGTCTGCGGGTGGTGAAGGGAAGCGGGCGGTGGCGGGCTCGCAGAGGCCAGGACACGTGTAAGCGCGGCAGGCAGTGCGCAGTGCCCAGGCGCCCGAGAGGCGAGGCGGCGCGGGTGGTGACAAAGCTGCGGAGTGCCCAGTGCGTGGGCAGGCGGGTGGGAGAGGGAAGGTGGAGCCAAGGGGGAAGGCGTCTGCAGGCTTGCTGTAATCAGGTCTGGAAAGACAGGCAGATGTGGAAATGACTGTCTTGCAGGAAGAAGTTTTTACTCCCGGTTCCAAGAAAGAGAGTGCAGGCCACTCAAGGCCGCGAAGGGAAGCACCAGGGTCAGTGAGGAGGCGCAGGGAGTGAGGGCATCGTGTGGGCAAGAGCCTTTGTCGTGGTTTCTGTGCCAAGGCAAGGCAAGGGAGGCCCAGGCTGGGCTGGTTTGAATGATTTCAGCCGGCTTTGGGATACTGGGGCTGTCTCCAGTGACCTGACACCCGGCCCTGGGGCCATTAGGGCAGATGGATCGTGACCCAGAGTGTAAGAACTAGATAAAGGAAGTGGCTGGGAAAAGGATTCTGGATTGGCCGGTTGGCATGTGAACAAGCCAGTCCTTTACAATCTTTAGGAACTAGCCAGCTCTGGGAGGGGCAGTCTGTAGGATCAGCAAGGTCCTAGAAACATAAAAAAATACAAACAATAAAAAATGCGTGTAATGCAGGCGGACAGTGGAAACTTCTCAAGGCGAGTGATGTGACTGAGGCTGGGTTTGGGAATGAGAGGAGGAGGCTGCTGGTGTGGTGCGCTCCAGAGGCCACCGGACGCTCGGCCACAGCAGGCGGAGCAGAGATGTGCCATGACCTCCACTTCCCAGACCTCTTGTCCCCAGCCTTTCTTAACCATACTTCAAAGTCATGAAACAGACTTTTAAAAAAATTGAAATATAATCCCCTCAATATAAAATTCATGCCTTTAAAGTGTGCGAGTCAGTGGTTCTTAGTCTACTTACAAAGTTGTGCAAACATAACCACTATCTAATTCAGAACATTTTCATAACCACAAAAGAAAACTCTGTACCCACTGGTTACTTCTCCTGCCATGCCCTGGGAAACCACGACTCTAACTTCTGTCCCTATGGATTTGCCTATTTTGGATGTTCCATATAAATAGAACCATATATTACGTGGCCTTTTGTATCTGACTTCTTTAATTTAGCACTTACTTCCTTTTTATGGCTGAATAAAATTCTAATGTATGCATATACCACATTTTTGTTTATCCATTCACAAGTTGATAGACCTTTGGGTTGTTTCCACTTTTTGGCTATTTTGAATACTAGTGCTATGAACATTTGTGTTTTTGTGTGAACATATATTTTCAATTCTCTTGGGTATATACCTAGGAGTGGAATCTCTGGGTCCTATGGTGACTCTGTTTAACATTTTGAGGAACTGCCAGACTGTTTTCCAAAGGGAATGCACCACTTTACATTTCCACAAGCAGTATATGAGGGTTCCAGTTTCTGTACATTCTTGCTAACACTTGTCATCTTTTTTTTTTTATGATACGCATCCCAATAAATAGCAAGATGCTATCTCATTGTGATTTTGATTTGCATTTCCCTGGTGATTAAAGATGTTGAGCACCTTTTCATGTATCTATTGACCAACTATATGTGTTTTTTTGAGAAAATATCTATTCAGGTTCTTTGCCCATTTTTAAACCAAGGTATTTGTTCTTTTTTTCTTTATGTAGGAATTATCACTATAACCTTTCTTCTTAGAATGGCTTTGCCTCATTCCATGTTCTGCTATATTATGTTTCCATTTTCATTTATCTCAAGATATTTTTTTATTTCTTCTTTGACCCATTTGTTGTTCAGGAGTGTGTTGTTTAATTTCAACATAGTTTTGAATTATTCAGTATTCTTTCTTTTGTTGATTTCTAGTTTCACATCGTTGTGGTTGGAAAAAAATTTTAATGCAATATCAATCTTCTTAAAATTTTTTAAGACTTATTTTGTGACCCAGCCTATACTGTACTCTGGAGAATGTCCCATGTGGGTTTGAGAAGAATGTATATTCTGCTGCTGCTGAATGAAGTGTTTTGTGCAAGTCTGCTGGTCCATTTGGTTTTAAGTGAAGTCATAGCCAATGTTTCCTTGTTGATTTTTCTGATTGAATGATCTGTTCATTATTAAAAGTGGGGCCTTGACATCTTCTATTAGTATTGTATTGCTGGTTTAGTTCTCTCTTCAGATAATATTTACCTTATATATTTAGTTGCTCCAATGTTGGGGGCATATATACTTATGATTGCTATAACTTTTTATTTTAATTTTTTTCTATATTGATTTTAGAGAGAGAGGAAGGAAGAGGGAGAGAGAGATAGAAACATTGATGAGAGAACATCGATTGACGGCCTCCTGAGGATCTGGCCCACAACCTGGGCATGCGCCCTGACTGGGAATCGAACCGGCGACCTCTTAGTGCATGGGTTGAGCACAACCACTGAGCCACACTGGCCGGGCATTGTAATATCTTCTTAATCAATTGATTCCCTTATCATTATATAATGATCTCCTTTTCTCTTGTTACCATTTTGGGCTTCATGTTTTTTTTGTCTGATGTAAGTTTAGCTATCCGTGCTCTTGTTTTGTTTCCACTTGCATGGAATATCTTTTTCTATCCAAGAAGGGTGAGCATTTGGAAAGGCCCTGTGGAAGAAACGACATTTGGTTTGGGAAAAGTGGGAAGGTAAAGAAGGGAAGGGAAGGGCATTGTAGCAGAGGGAACAGCATAAGCAAAAGCAAGGCCATTGTGTGCATAGGGCATGGCACATGTTTTAATGTGGCTGCAGCCTGAAATTCAGTGATGAAATGAAGGTAGAAAGATAAGATGGTCAAGAGCTAAGAAGGATTCAGTCATTTAAATTCAGAATGAAAAGCAAAGTAGGGCAAAGGTTTATACTGAAAAGGTGATGAACAATGACAAAGTGAAGTCACATGAGGCTACTATGGTGTGGGGGAAGGAGCACTGGACTGGCAGGCCTGCCCTAGCTCTGCCACTTACCAGTGTGCCCGTGAGCAAGTTCTCGCTCAGGTGCTTAGTCTCTTCATTTGTAGAATGGGGGTAGTCATTTTGAGTTGAGGCTTGTTGGGAGGGTGAAGCGAGAGGGAAAAATCCAAGATGCTTTCTCAGTTGTAAAGGGCTGGCTCCCCTGAAGTGTTTCTCTTTTTGTAGCTACACAATGAGATGGAAAGTTATGGGCTGGGCTGGTGTTTCGTTAGGGATGGAAAATGGAAGTCATCTGGCCCAAGTGCTGCCTGATTGCTAATTAATGTACCGCGTGGCAAGAGTAAATGGGAAAACCTCCAAAAAGCTGAGAAAAGATATGATAATATAGGTCCCCTGATTTTGAGCCCTCATTTTATGCTTTTCTTAAAGAATGGTGAGCTAAAGTCTGGGGCCTGTCATTCAATCCAGCAGAGCCATTCTGCACTCAATTAATTTAATATGAATGATATAGTGGACCATTAATCTACTGGGAACAGCAGTTTTTGATAAAATACCTAAATTAAATTCTCCAAGTTAGAGAAAAAGGGGAATTGTTCCCTTTAGTATCACTTGAATACAGACTTAGTTATTCAGTTCAAACAGCAGAACTGGCTCTGGCTTCTGTAGAAGCTCTGAATATATCAGGCAGAAATTCATTTAATTATTTCTCAACTGTGAACTTTGGAGTGTGGAGTTCAGTAACATCTAGTTGCCCAGAGATTTAGAGATGAGCCAGAATGACTTTGTCAAGGATATTATTTACAAAAATCGGAACTGTATTATTGTTAACCCCTTCCCTCCCTCCTTGAACTGTGTGGTTCTGGGTGAGCCCCTCACCCACAGCTGCACTCCACTTATCTGCCGGTGTTGTCAGAGCTGAGTGAGAAAACTGGAGTCTAGTGATACGGGTTCAGTTCTCTTCCCTCCTAGAAAGGAGTGTGCTGTGAAGTCTAAAATGCCATTTGCTGGGATAGGTGGAACCCAAAGGGGCTTGTGGAGATGCTGTGTGGTCTGGACATGGGGTGGGGCAGAGCAGAGTTCAGGGCTGGAGGGAGAGCTGAAGGGCCTTTTCCATCCGCTGATGGGAATGGAAATCGTGCATTTGACACAATGCATTCAAACTCTCCTCAAACTTCGGCACCACATATATTTGGTTTAACAGCTGAGAGTAATGCCAGTGTGAGTCGCCACATGCCTGATTTGTGTCCTGCTTAAGGTTCTCTCTTCTCTTGAGTTACTCAAGATTCCCTAGGCGCTTAATGTCTCAAACGGGAGTCATTCTGAGAATTCTGGTCTTAAGGGACCCCTGGAGTTGCTCCTGGTGGCCACAGGGGGTCACTGTTGGAAGCCATCAGGAATTTCGAGCAGGGTGGTTGGCAGCCGACCTCAGTCCCAGTGGAGAGAGCCCTTCCCTTGGCCTGCATTTCACTGTGGGTGCACCTCGCTTGCTTCCCCCGAGGTTCACCTCTCGGTGCCAAGCCCACCTCCCCCCAGGCGAAGGCTGCTGCAGCAGGTGGAGCCACCAGAGGCCTGTGTGCACACCCCTCAACGTCTGCACTGCCTGTTTCCCTTTCCCAGGGTCAGGAAATCTCTCATTTTTTACAAAGACTGTGTTTTTCCCATTTTCTTGATGAGGTTCTTGACTCTACTCAGCCCCCATCCCACCCCACATCATCCTTGCCTCCACCCATTTGTGCCTTGACCAGAACGGGCCCTTTCTAAAG